TGAAGTTAGTGTATGCTCTTAGCAAGAATTCGAGAAACATTTAGTACAACTCTCGTAATGGGCATACGGAATTGGTTATTGCCATTCACTTGCGGGCAGCAGCATCAACACACAGTCACATCGGCATCTTCAACTCCCGCCTAGTTTGTTGTTTGACTGCAAAATCATAATCATGTCAGCAAATTGGACTGACATGGAGCGTACGTGCGTCAACTAGCCGATGAGTAGGATCTGTTGTGCCGTTGAGCAACAGGCAACAGGCAGCAGGCAACAGGCAAAAGGCGGGATTGAAGATCAGCCGCTCGTCCATCACACAAAAATGGTCAGTGTTTGGGCTGTTGTTGTTTTAGTCGATGTCTTTGTCGTTGTTGGTGCATAGAGAAAGCTTCAGAATGCATTTAACTTTTGTCTTTGGCGATAGGTGAATGTCTTCGAGTCGACTCAAAAGCGCAATGTCATCGTCCAGTTCGACAACGGATGCTAAAACCGTTGCCATTTCGTGCGACACAACTGCGACACCAACGAACTGCGTATGGCAAACAAATGTTCTTAGCTTCGGAAAACTGTTGTCATCTAAACACATTTGCCAAATGCGCAGAATTCTAAGACAATTAACTTTTGCCTACTGCCGCCGCACACGCAGCGCATAGAATGACTAAATATTTCAGCAGCAAATTTACTTCTCATTTCAAAACGCCACTGAGCTTGACTGGGCAGTGATTTAGGTTATCTGCGTTGGGCTTGGGTCAGACAACGGTTACGAAAGAATTGCCGACATCTAGCTGCGAGATAGAGCTGTGTAACTTATCAGCGAGAGTTAATTTAATGAATACCGTTACTTATCACAGCCCGCAGCCAGTTTGGGGAACCAGCTTTTGTTAAGGTGTCATCGCTGTCGCAATCGCATAAAACTGCCTAAAAATTGAATAGCGAGCAATAAAAATATTGCAATTGCATTGGCGGAACAAGCGCCGTCGCTTCGTGGTGCACAAAAGCCTTTTGTGTGCATTTTATCAGCCTGCGGTTGCCATTGAAACCTGAACTCAGTTCTCATAGTTTTTATTTAGCATTTTCCAAATAACCTTTGGCAAAATATTTGCATCTTTTTGCCGTGTCTAACTTTTTCGCAAATTTTCTGATGAAATTAGATACGGCAATCGTATCGGATTGCTATGCCATTCTAGATGTTATATCTGTGAGTATATTTTAAATTAACAACATTTACATGAGTTGTCTATGAAACTCAATTCAAGTTCGTTGTCTAAGTCTTTTGAATTTGAGCTGCGCTTTGATGGTTCATGGCTTAACTCTGCTACATTTGCCTTGTGAAAATCCAATGCAAATGTCAGCTGGGTCAGCGAAAATACATTGCCCCATAATACGTTAACCGCTTTGAAAATAATAAGATATGTACAGCTGATATATGGCAGGCAGTTTGAGCTGACAAAATGAGCAGCGGGGCCATAAATCTGCCATAGACAGGAGCCGCAACCGCACCAAAGTGATTTTCTCGCACTCAATTTCAATGGCGCAGCCGCCAACTTGATAAATTAACACTGTGCACATGCCATTTGTTTATTTGCCTAAATAAATCGCCATCGAATTCGAATTCAAATTCAAATGCCTACAAAAGCGCCCCAAAAGCTACCGCGCCACCAATTGAAAATTTAAAATCGCGCACAATCAAATGGACATTCAGTGCGACCCGCAATTTATGTGGCTGGAATTCGCGACTACAACAGCGACTGCGACACCCATGCCTGAGACTTAAGCTGGACTTACTTTATTGGCCCACTAAAGCGACTGACCCACAACATTAAATTGTAATTTGAGTGGGCAAACATTTTAACTGAATTTCTATTTGCCGTGCCTGCAGCCACAGCTGGCAGTCGGCAGCTAGTTCCCCTGCATGTAAACGAGCCCCGAGCAGTCACAGGCAGTTAGCCAAAGTAACTTGGATAATTAGAATTTCTGCTGCATCTGTAACTGCGACTTTTGACGCCCCACTGCAGTATGTGACCATATATTTACCGCTATTAGCAGCTTTGGACTTGTCTACATGAAATATGAACTGCTCTAGGTGTTTGATCTTGGGGTTGCGGTTGTGGTTGTCGTTGTGGTTGTGGTTGGAAGTGTGACCGTGTCATTGACCATTGCAATGCATGGAAATCGATTTGCGAGCAAGCAATTGCATAATCGTTGATTATGAGCTCACACAGCAGACAGCAGGCAGCACAGCAAAGAGAAGTCAGCAGACTCTGTGCCCAGATTGAACAGTAAGCATTAGCCACCAAAATGGCGCACAGCTGCTCGGACCGATCTCAAATGTTGTCCATTTCAATTCGATTAGCGCGGAAATCAATCTGGTCGTCAGTGCATGTGGAAAACTCACTGGCAGCTGCTCTGTGATTTAACGCATATTACACGTAATGCATTTTCTATACTGCTTTCAAAGTTGCGTCGTTAAGAACCGCAAAGCCACTGAGAACAATCCAACTACAGCGGCATATGAATGCAGAGCCAATCAGATTTTCTATTTCTGCCGAATGGGCTGATAATTTGGGGCTTGGCTTTTGTGCGTGCGCTTGCAAAGTAGCGTTATTTAATTTCTTATCAGTAGTTTGCTTCCAATTAGACGAGAGCAGTGCTCTGGCACTCTGATTGGATGCTGGAACGTGGCTGCGTGAGAAATGATTTGCAAATGCTCAATAAGAAGCACTTCCGTCAGATCGGGGCAAATCAATTGACAGCATGGAGCCTTGGCTGATGCAACTTCAATGGCAAAGGAGACATGCCGCGCCGTGTAATTCATAAAAATTATGAAAAAATACCCACCCAGATTGGTCCCCAAGGGCCGTCGCCAGTGTCGAACGGCAGCAGCAGAGCGATGACATTGCCGCGGACATTGTCAAGCCAAGCACTTTATTTGCTGCGCGTTTGACATAAACATTTGCCCAGCGGACATCTGAATGGCCTCGGCCTCTCTGTGGCTCCATATAAGCGCCGCACGACACGCCAAGGAACAGAGTCGCACAACAAGATGCCGCCGCCGGCTTGTCCTCGTCATCGAGCGTTAGCAATTTTTGAAATACGCATTGCAGAATTTATGTTATGCGTGCCACAGTCGGAGGCCGTTTCTATGGTCGTGCCAATGTCAAAACTCAAACTCCAAACCCAAACCTGAACCCAAAGAAAAACAAAAACTGCACCGATCTGCGCGACTCTGGCGCTGAAAGTGTCCAGTGACTTTCGCTGGGGCTCCTTGGAGCTAACAGCTCATGGGGCTTGGCGGTGGGTTGACTGGAGAGCACGCTCCTCTGGAGGCCATCTATGAGGCTTTGTCTAAATTTGGACGGTCATGTCGGTGACAGCTTTTGACTTGCCAACTTTTCAACTTGTGGCAAGTGGCGCGGAGTTCAAAGCACCAGATTAGAGATAATGTTAAACATTTCCTTTCAAATTTGTGACTGAAGCTCGACGTCGTGAAAACTCAAATAAAAGATACAAATAATTATGAAATAAAAAAATTAACTTCCATCTTCATAAAATTTCATACGTAGAGCAAAAGTAAAAGTTTATGAAAAGAAAGAGTCATAGAAAGCGAATGAAATTTAAAGGATGTGAGTTGAATATAAAAAGAATTTTTTTAAGGCTATACTACTTGTTCGATTTTCCAAAAATGCAGCAAAACAATGATGTAGTCACATATGTCTAAAATCTTGGGAAACTCAAGAATAATAATAAGTTTCAAATATGGAAGTTTATTTTATTCAACTATCAAAACTATCTTTTATTCAACTAGCAAAAGCCTTTTTATTTCGTTCATTAAGCAACATTCCTTTAAATCAAAGGTCTATAAATCTTTTCTCTTCCTAAGCTGAATATATTTGCTAAGCATGCTGCTTAAGTTCATCAATTTGTAAGTAGGTGAAATCAAGCAAATAAAGTTGTTTATCGGCAATTTGTAGCCTCCTATTTATTTTTTGCTGCCTCAATTAATTTGTCACTTTTACTTCTTGTCGTTTGGCTTAGCGAAGACCTGGTTCAGTTTCACTAGCTAATTTTCCACCTGGTAAGTGTTGCGCCCTGTCTCGGCCTAAACGTAGCTCTGATTGATTTGTATCAACGTTGATTAGGCCAAAACCAACAATCAGGCCGGCATGGCGTGAAGGCCCACTTGAGGTTGGCCTTGTTAGATCGGACAGGCTCGATCAATTGACAGGCAAATTGCCGACCAAATAGTAGAGTAAAAGCCAGGTAAATGAGTAATTTCTAATACGTTTATTTACTTTTTACGTTTACGTTTACGTTAACGTTTACGTAGTTCATTATTGTTGTTTTTGTTTTGTTTATAGCATCTGAAGTTTGTCTCGTGTTACATTGCATTACTAGGCCTAGTATTGTATTAAGTATTTAGATTAAAAGTATTTAGACAGTCAAACCTCTTAAATGAGACATGCGTCGTCTCAGCGACGTGAGCTCAATTAAGAGGTTTGAATGGTTTTTTTTCACTACGACTAAGGAGCTTTCAAGTCTTAAGCTGATAGTATGCCGACATATTCAGAGTAGTCTTAGCAGTAAGTCTTATAGAGTAAGCATATATATGAGCATAAATATTAAGCTACAGTTCCAAAGCCCTTTCCATATGTGTGCGAGCGTGTGTTCTGTGTCTGGCTCAGTCAGTGCCACGCTTTTCCCATTGGCCATGTGGTGCAGAGAAGTCCAGCTCTACGTTGCGCGCAATGACTTTGAAGTGCCACAGCTGCAGCCACATTGGAGGACCCCGTTTCGTACAGCTACTAACTAGATTATGAGCGTTGCTAAGTTTTCTGTTTTCCTTCGTTTTTTTCTGATTTTTTTTCCGTATTTTTTTTTATGATTCTTTTCTTGTAGTTCAGATAAGAGAGAGACAGAGAGAGAGATAGAAAGAGGGAGACAGAGAACTTCATGCTAGCTTGCTCCATTCTCCATCCTCCGACCAACCAACTGCTCGCGTCAGTTTATCGCTTGTGTAACGCGCGCTTTTGCATGTTGTCCCAAACGGCAATAACCGTCAGCTGCAGCAGCAAAAAGAGTGCCCCGGCAATTATGAAGCCTGCAAATAGAGTTGTAAAGCGCAAGAGATATATTTATGGGTTTATTTAATTAGCTGGTCACTCAGCCAGCAAGTGCGCTGGTTTTTGCTTTTTGCGCTTTGCTTTCTGCTTTGGGCCCAGTTAGATGTTGCACCGGCACGCGATTACCGCAAATAAATTTGGCGCGCTTGAGTTGCAGATTAGACGAGTAGCGCCAGGCAGAGCCATGTTAACTTACCATAGCCATTTATGCAAGTGTCCGTTTTGTTGGCCAATTCCAATTGCAGCTTGCCCAGGCCAACGCTCGGCTCGCCGTTGCTCGCATCGGCACCATTGAAGGCAAACTTATCGGTGATTTGAATGGACTGCACAAGCAAAATGTTCTCATCGGTTGCCTGCTGATGACTCACATCACGTTTTTGGCGTTCCGACTTAATCGCCAGTTCAACTGTGGAAAGGTAGCAACCAGAAGGTAACAAGTGATGAGGAATCATATATGTACAGTGCAATCTGTGGGAGCCATAACCAGCCAGTGGCCAGAGATGAATGAAGCGGCGACTTGGACCAAAGGTCATGAACTTCAAGTTAGTTGGACTAAACCCGGAACCGCTTAGTGTTTATCAGTTACATATTGCTTAAACAAATTGTTTTAATAAAGGAAATTTCATTTTCTTTGAGCCAAGTCACTTCACTATCACTGCCGAAATCACTGCGATCAATCATTTGACAGTGATTCAATGTTGCTTTTGCACAGCTCTACCGTTATGACTGCCACTTACCGCCATCGGTGCCATTGTAGACGGAACGCTTGCGACGTCCATAGGACAGCAGAGACTTCAGCTCGCCGTTCTCATCGTTGTCGCAGATAACCGGTTCGCAGCGCGGTATGCAGGGCGTGACCAAGGCGCGGAATTGCACCAGCTCCGAGGAGGGGAACTTGAAGGCGTCGAACTGTGAGAGCAGCACCTTGCGATTGCTGGCCATCTTTTGCATAGCGCTCATAATATATTGATCCGTGGGACAGCCGTTGGCATCGATCAGCGTAATCTCGGCGCTGTCTGTACCATCCATCGCAACCAGTTCGCGCACAAATATCTCATATGGACTGTTGGCATCAACGATCTCGAATCGCAGCGCCAGCGGATCGCCAACCTCAGCAATGCGCTTCATATCGCTGCCATCACGTGCAGTGATCTTCATTATAACATTCGGTGAGTCCACAATAATTTCCTCGCTGAGAGTAGATTCAATCTCGCCAGTGACGCCCAGATCAACATTGTTCACAACCGTCTTATTGGTCAAATCATACTGACAGCTAACGGCCAAACCCAGATCCGAGGAGGTGACAATCATATCGTGGTGCTGAATAACAATATCGTTCATATATCGACCATAGGCGCTCTGGCGCACATTGCACTCGAGATCGTTGTAGCGCATGCGCAGATCGAACTCCAGCGAACTGTTGACATTTACAGCGCAGGATTTGGGTGCTCCCTTGGCATAGACCTTGCCATCGAACAGCTTGGAGGTGCGAATCTTGGTGATCATCTCACCCGAACGACAATCAATGGAGACATTGTAGCAGGCGGACTGCTCATAGGTGGCCGCCTCTTCGATGTTCAGATAGGGCTCCGATAGATCGCTAAGAGTAGCACGACTGTGGTGAGATAGACGACAGACATGCTCGCCCGTTTCATTATAGTCGTAGGAGTGGCAGCGGAAGGGAGCGCTCAGGCACAGGTCACGGCAATCGTCAATGCTCTGCACATTTTGGTGCACCGAATCCACAGTCTTTAAAATGCGTCCCGCGATGCGCTTAAACTCGCACAGCTTGCTGGGCTCCTCGGCGCAGTTATTTTCGAGATATTCGGCGCCATCATAGGCCACAACGTTGGCCTCCTCCGACAGCGTAATGCGATCCATGTCCGACAGTTCACATAGGCCAGAGTGCGCATAAAAGTTGGCCGAGCTTCAGAGAGGCAGATGAATGAGCTGCGAAATGGCAACTGGAATGTTTGTAACGGGAATACCACTTACCGGCAGGTGAACTCCGTTTCGCCCAGGCAGAGCTCGATGCAGTCACGTCGCGTGGCCACGCTTTGGCTAGACTTGGCATGCTCCGGCAGACGGTAGCCCTGCACACGATCGATGCACCAGGCCTTTGAACAGGGACGCACACCAAAGCAGGATTTCTGTGCGTAGACCGTGAAAACGGGATATTGCGATCGGGAAAGTGAACCTGTCGTAAGTAGAAGGCGGAGCTAGAAAACCGCAGGCCCACACACCACAAAATTACAAGCGTGCCCCACTCACCTGGCAACTGATCGGCGGTGCTGCGGAACATGACGCAAAGCCCCGTCTCGTAGTTAACAGCGCTGCAAGATTCATTAGCCTGGCAGGCCTCCAAGCAGTCGGTCAACATCAGTGTGCCAGGCAGCGTCTCCAATTGCTTCGATGGCGCCGATAGCACGTACCTGCCGGGCGTTTCGGGTTAAGACAAAATGCGGCGCATAAATATTTTTGTTTACAGCAGGTTTAATGGAGGCTAGCATTAACGATTCTGGAGACTATGTTTTCGCAACCAAAGCGAAATCTTATTAACTCTTTGTACGCCCCACGCTGTACTACAAGTGCCAACCTTTTACGATGTGCGAACAGGCGTCTCGTTAATTAATGGCCCTCTTTCAACATTGCCCCATGTCCCTGCTCCACTCCTAATTGCCACAAGTCAAGAGACTTATGTATATATATTTATATATATGGGAGCTATCACCTACCCAGTTATAAGCTCAAAGCCAATCATATCCGGCTCGCAGTCTTCATCGATCTGGCTGCCTAGTGGCGCAGTCGTCGCGCTAAGATCATCGATTTTGCTCTCGCCATTGACAGGTGTTGCTGCAGGTTCCGCTACAGCAGCTTCCGCCGGCTGTTGTTCGCTCGCATGTGGTGTCAACGGTTTTGGTAGCTCGCTTCCGCTCGCAGGCTGTGCGCCCGCTGCTGCTGCTGCTTCGGTCGCTGCAATTGTCGGCGTCGCATTGTTGCGCGGAAATGTCTTCAACGGTTTTGCCGGCCGCTTAGGCAGCTTGCGAGCCGACTCTGCTGTGTCTACAAGCAACAGCGCCAACAGTAGAACCAACGACATTGTTGTCATCATGCTGACTCGCCCGTTTCTGTGCCTTGTCAATGACCGTAGCTGCATTTTGTTGCTATTAGCTGTAAGATGGCAAAAATGATTTGGTAACTTGGTTTTTAATTAGCATTTCAGTTTCTTTGCATGCTTATCTCATGATTAATTGCAACAGCAGTTACAGTTAAAGCTTAATAATGGGTTTAATGGGTTTAATGGCAGGCCCCGGTCCCAGCCCCAGTCGCAACGCCAGTCCCAGCTTCTGCCCAGCATAGCAACGCCCACTAGCACGAAGTGCTCGTGATTAATTGTGCAAGAATTACGAAACTACAGCTCTGATGCAAAATCAATTTTGTTGATGATGAGTTCATGGATGTTGCAACTGCAGCACGCACACCCAGGAGAATTAAAATAACGCCACTTGGCAAAAAAGAGGAAAAAACGCACGCAAAACTTCAGACAGTCCAGGCTAGGAAAACTGAAAAAAAGAAGCTGATTGGCATTGCGATTGCCTCTATGATCATGTGATCGATACTTTGGGTACTTGAATTGTTGTTAGTGGCTTTGCGGTTCTTAACGGTGCAGCTTGAAAGCAGCATAGAAAATGCATTACGTGTAATATGCGTTAAATCACAGAGCAGCTGCCAGTGAGTTTTCCACATGCACTGACGACCAGATTGATTTCCGCGCTAATCGAATTGAAATGGACAACATTCGAGCTCGGTCCGAGCAGCTGTGCGCCATTTTGGTGGCTAATGCATACTGTTCAATCTGGGCACAGAGTCTGCTGACTTCTCTTTGCTGTGCTGCCTGCTGTCTGCTGTGTGAGCTCATAATCAACGATTATGCAATTGCTTGCTCGCAAATCGATTTCCATGCATTGCAATGGTCAATGACACGGTCACACTTCCACCCCAAGATCAGTTCTTATTTCATGTAGACAAGTCCAAAACTGCTAATAGCGGTAAATATATGGTCATATACTGCAGTGGGGTGCTAAAAGTCGCAGTTACAGATGCAGATGAAGTTCTAATTATCCATGTTACTTGGGTCAAGTCTCGCCGACTCCGTTGGACTCGTTTACATGCGCGGCAACAAGCTGCTGGCTGCAAGCGCAGCAAATAGAAATTCAGTTAAAATGTTTGGCCACTCAAATTACAATTTAATGTTGTGGGTCAGTCGCTTTAGTGGGCCAATAAACTAAATCCGCATCGATGGACAAGACAAGCGTAGTAATCGCGGTCAGTTGCCATGCACATAAATTTCGAATTGGCATTGCAGTTGCTGCTGCTGCTGCTGCCGCTGCTGCTGATGCTGCTGCTGGCTATGCTCCTGCTGTTGTGGAGCATTTGTTTGGCATTTGAATTCGAGTTCGATGTCGATTTATTTATGTATTCACATGTATGGACACTTTTGTATACATTTATTTGCAGCGGCACAGGGGAAAATGTATTTTGCCAGGAAATGTTGTAACCCGTTTACGAGTTGATGTTTTTTGTGCGAATATACGTATTTACAGTCAAATTTGACAGTTTGCTTAGCTGTTGTTTTATGGACTCTTTATAGCCAGTCAATCCATTTGAAAGAGTTAAGAGTGGGCTGAGCAACTCAAGTAAGTTCTTGCTTTCCGTGTTCTAATTGGGCCACATAAAAATCTTTATGAGCCATTCGTGAGCGCTGCTAATGGCCATTGGGGGAAAAGTTTTGATTATCGACCGTTATGATTATGAGCAAGCTAATACGCTTCAATCTGAATGGCATTTAGTTGCTGAAATTTGGGCTAATCCGGCGAAGCTGTGCCACCAGCAAGGCTGTCAGGTGTCAGCTGTCAATGCATGTGCGCGCTGCTCTGACACCAATTCGAAATTGTCTCTCAGCGTTGAGGCAGTCGCTCATGCTATTTCTTAATTAAAATTGCAAGTAATCAAAAAAAAAAGAAAAATAATATTTCACTTCCATTGAGTGTTGCTGGTTGAAACTGTGCCAGGCTGCGCCCCGGAACCAGGAGAATGCCGATGAGAATGACATAACTGGCGTGGCGGCGACTACTGGCAAGAGCAAGCGCGAGCGCAAATGCGAGTGCTTATCTCAATTGAGGCGCGAGTCATTGTAACTGTAAGCAGTGTGGTAGCCGCAGATGAAGCCAGTCAGGCAGGTAGGCACAGGCATAGCTACGACTTGAGCTGTTGCGGCGGCTATGCCTGCTTCTGCTCTGACTATCTTCATTCCACTGGCTGAAGCAATTTGAAGTGCACCCGCAGGCCATTGGCACAGGAGCTGACCCACATCGTCTATGCCAAAGTTATTTTTATTGAAATTTTAGCAATTTGCGCCAATTTCTATATGATCATATATATACTGTGCTTGGGTGTGCAGTTGTTATGCTATGCGACAAATGCTCGATTAATTGCCTGTGGATTAGCAGTGAAATTGTGGGCATTCTGTTGCTGCACAAACAAAAGAGCTAGGCGACAAACGTGTTTCAGTATCACGATCAAAAGACTTAAGCAACAAACTAGCTTTTCATTTGACAAGTAATGCCACACCGAAAACCTAACGGCATATTAACCGCACCATTTGAAAGCTATTCGAATATCTAATCTACTGGGCCAATGTGGAAAACGAAAACATGAATTTTTTCGGATCACGCTTCGTTTGTAACGCTACCGCAGCCAAGACTTAACTGTGAACCAATTCGGATAGTGAAAAATCAACATAAATGTAGTGCACAAAAGAGCTCGAACTGCTTTTAGCATAACAATGAAGTTTTGTTACCCCAGGAATCTTCGAATATCTATTGTGCGGTAATTGTCATAATACGGCAACTTAGGTGACCAAATAATGTCGACTTATAGCCCTTCTATTACAGTTTCGGACTTATAGTAAGCGGCACGTAGTAAACAAATTTGTCAGTGAGTCAATATAAAAGAGTTGAAGTGAGTAATGTTTAGTATATGCAAATATGCTCTATTGACTGAAAGATTTTTATCTCAGTTTTGTTCATACAGTTGAGAAAAACAGGTGTAACCGCGGCAAAGAATTCGGAAACTATGAAAAATTGACATTGTTTGTGTGTTTAAATGACAAGCAATCAAAATGCAGCGAAAGTTTTTGTTCATATGGCATTTGAGAACAAACATTTAAGCATATTTGAACTCTGGCTTAGATAGCGACTAACTGATTATCACTTTTCTTCTCTCTGCTCATAGCCAAGCGGCTAATTGTCTTCAATTGTATCATAACTGTTGGCTGACCCAGCCCAAATGACCCAAATTGCCTGGCCAAGCCGAATGGTCGGCCATCCCAGGCGATTACCACTCGGCCATGCGCCAGTGCAAGAATGAGCTTTAAAAATTTTTCGCAGATAAATAATTTTTTGTCATTCTGCGGACTTGAGTGCTGCTGGTGCTGCGTGTGCGGCAGCCGGCAAAAGTTAATTGCCTCTAAATTCAGCGCATTTGGGAAATGTTTCGTCAGACTGTCTAGATAGATGACAAAAGTTTTTCCGGGCACAGCGCACAGCGAACAGCGAACAGCGCACTGCGTTTGGTCCGGTCACACGAATTTCTAACGGTTCCATCATCTCCTCGTTTCGACTTCAACTGGAAGATGACGTTGCTTGTTCACTGGCGCTACATGCTTAAGATTCGGTTTGCACAGATCATTCGCCAATCGCCTTGACATTCACCCAAGGCTTTCTCTAATGGTCCATTGACCATTTTCGTTTTAATTGATGGACATGTGGACATCCTGCTGAGTCTTAGCCAAACCATTGACACCATGTCAACCATACGATGGCATGAATTTGATACCATTTGCAGAGCACGTTTAGCAATGTTTCTGCCAGAGTTATTTAATGGTTTTGTTGCGTTATTATAAAAAAGTTATTACCTTTGTTTGTTTGCAAATATTATTGGTTTAATCCTTTTAATGCTTTATTTGCACTCTAACAAATAAATTAATTCTTTTGTTTTATGTAAACTTTTGGTTTAGATAATTAGTTTTTGTACACAACGCACGCAGGACACACGCAAAATGTTTAAATAAATTTGTCCAAATTTATTTACTCCGAAAAATGTTTAAGTTAAAAAACATTCACCGATGAACCGATATGCTCCGCTCGCCGTCTGCACTCTAGAAAGTGGAGCGCCTAACTGCCGCACATACACCTAGGCAATAGGTTCTTATGTGAGCTTCTCAACACAGAATTACAGATGCTGCGCTGGGAAAATTGAATTACTCTCAAAGTTCGTTAGCTTCTATGACTCGACGACCGCGACTGCGACTGCCAGTTAGAGCACCTTGACACTGAATGTTCGCTGCGAAGGCCGCGGAAAACTTTACAAGTTGGTAGCCAACAACATCGACCATCAGCAGCAGCAGAAACAGCAGCAGCAGCAGCAGCAGCAGCAACAGCAACAGCAGCAGCGGCAGCGGCAGCGGCAGCGGTTACAACTAACTAACGTTGGCTCTCTCTTCGGTCACGCAAACCGGTAAAAACATCGGCCAGAAAGCTAATGGGACGCGCTCTTCGGTGGCTCTCTTCTTGAGCTACTCTTTGTTGGCACTTTCTTCAGGCGAAGCTTTTCTCTGCTGGCATTGTAACGGGCAACCTGTCGGAAGCAATAAAATGCAATTATACCAGTCGAGCTAAATGATTTTCTAATGTGATTCCATAGCTGCGCCGGCTGCACGCAGCTTCATCTTCAGCTCTGCTTTAAAATGGCACACAACAGCGTTGCCTTATTGCCAGGCAGGTGCATTGATTGCTGAAGAGAGTACAAGCTTAGATTCAAAAGAGTCCGCATATACTATACGCTCATCTCTCTCCCTCTCTCAGCCACCTAAAAAGAACATTGCAGCTTTCTAATGACCAAAGCTGTAACCACAATAACAACATCAAAACCAACAACTACATAGGCAGCAATTGTGATGATCATTAACTCAACGCACGCCTAATTAAATGCAAGATAACAAATCTGAGCTAAACCTCGAATGAGGCCACTGATTGTAGCATGGAAGGAGGAAAAGAAGGAGGTGGAAGCGGAAGATGAAGTGGAGTGTGCGTTTAT